ATTCAGATATAATGCACCTGTGTGTATTCATATTTATTCAAAATATAAATGCAGTATGTATTAAGCAGTTTACTAAATTATATTCAGCAGTATGTATTTACGCAATAATCCAATACACCAACTAATCAATATGTATTATTTCAAAATGTCACCGGAATCTATGACACATCGTTATTGCAGTAATACAAGTCAGAATGTGAACTAAGTCCTACGTGGAGCATTTCTACAAGTACGCTTATTATGTCCTCCCTGTCCACATATGCTACACAAATGTTGATTTTTCTTCTGCAACAATTCACTGAACGGCTTATCGTGCTTTTTCTTTGGCCTTCCAGGAGGTCTTTTCCATTTGGGTAGTAAGACAACTTCCTCTGATATATGTGCTGGTATATTCCATTCATTTTGGTCAGGCAGCGGATACACGGGCACCTCGTATGTCATTATAACAGACTTTGGTTTGTAATAGTCCGAGCAATAATCTTCTGGCATTAGAAACTTGCTCTTCAAGACAGCCCAAGCGTGTGGGCATGGTAATTCGTCAACTTGGAACCGCCCACAACTGCACTTTCTCTCTAAGAGGCAAACAGTGTAATGCCTTCCTTCATCGTTCACCGTATGCAAGTATTCAGTCGATGGTACAACCTATATTTAAACATAGACCTATAAATTTTGAACATTTAAAAAAAATCATATATATATCAAAGAATAGACGTATTAAATACAGTATAGATATATACAATTAAAAAACAATTTAAATATACAGCAGTAAACTTTTATTTATCTTTTAGGATTATCATCTATATTGAATTCAAACAAATATATATCTATAAAATACAATGAAATACAAACATATATGTAGATATAAAATACAAAGACATACAATGATATACAATGAAATATATTGAATACCGTGGAATACAGTCTATATTTAGGCTGGCAGAATATTAAAGATGATGACATTTTAACTGATGAATATAGTTATATACAGTAACATATAGACTATCTGCTTAGGAAATGCATCTGGTTAGAAACAAAACCATTGAATTCAACCAATGAAATGCAAATGTATAAAAAAGTAATATATACATATAATGATAAGTTTTTTAAACATTTAATAAAACATAAAGCATGCATAACTGCTATAATACAATGAGCATTCTGTATTTGAATAGTAAAAATTGTATTAGAAATAAATACACCTTGTACCAGGGCTAAATACATGATACAATGACTTTAAAAAAAAAACTTACAATCATACGTGTAGATATTGCCTCATTCAAAGTAAGCATCTCCAGGTATTGTTTTCCAAGCGTTGTGTACGTGTGTGAAGCTTCTTTCCGATTGCTGCAATTCCAACGTCCAAACATCTTCTTAACTTCTTCGAGAAAGTCGTATATTGGCAATTCTCTTGCTGACACAAGTGAGGCATTGATTAACTCATCAATATTTGATGTCATGGTCCATCCCCTGTTAACAGGTGCATACAACCTAGCCCACTTTTTGTATCCAGTTAATTCCAAGTATTCTTTTACCCTAATATCTACCTTCTCCACCTTCTCCATTAGACTATCATATTTAGCCTGTGTGTATGCTCTTGCCATCAAGAAGTATATTTCGCTCAACTTTGAATGACTCTTTTTGAATTTCTTATATACTTTGTTCCATAGATGCCATTTACAAGCAAAATGCGGTACCATTGGATACACTCTCGATACTAATTTGATGATACTCTCATTCCTATCTGAAACGATGCACATGTTCTTCCTCTCACCATATGCTTCCTTGAATTGCTCAAAGAACCACGACCAAGCAACACCGTTCTCTGAATCAATTATACCATATGCTAGTGACAGTATATGACCTGTAAATACAATTGCATACATATTAAAAATATGTATTTCATTCTTTAATAGGCAGTAAAATTAACAAATTTTATTATAATCCCCATACTCACCTGCGCCATCCAACGTGCTGGCCGAGACGAATGTCCCGGTGTATGCCGATTTTAGGTGGCTTCCATCCACAACCACAATGGGTCTACAATGATCGAACCCCTTTATAAAGGCATACAAAGATATATACACATACATGAACTCATTTTGTGGTGATTTTACCATTCTAATGTGTGAACCGGGATATATCATATCCATTGTATATAAGTACCCTGGTAATTTATTGTATGAATCAGCCGGTTCACCTCTTAAAAAATTCATTGCCTTTTTTTTAGCCTGCCACACCAACATATAACTAACATCTATACCAAAATCCGACTTCACATCATCAATTATATCCTTTGGGGTGTATTTCCTCTTATGATTAGTAAGCTTGGACCTAATCATACCACCGATAAGACTACTGCTTGTTTGACGTTGCTCATACACCTTATCCTTCAACGGACATGTATGCTTATCATTGAACTCTCTCAC